AAGGTATGTTATTCTAACTTGTGCTATTAAAGTTTTGTATGCTAGAATAGAACAATACCTTGGAAAGATGATATTTGCATGTATAATAGAGAAAACATAGATCCAAGGTATTTAGGGTTGCATGTACACTTAGGTGTGTTAGATTGCTCAAAACCCAACACGGATTTCCTCCGCTTTCAACTGAAAGGCTCTCCCGCGAGCCTTTGGTGCCTCGGCCTTCGCTGGTCGGGCCTCGGTAGCTCTAGCAGCAGGTGCAGATCCTTGTGTTGATCCCTAAAGTAGCTGTGGGCACTCGGCCTTCCGATGGCCAGTCTGGTTGCAGTGAAAGCAAACTGCAAACCCCTTGGGGTAATCCCTCGCAAAATGCCCTCCTTGCCACACTTGTAGCACACCTCTGCCCTGCATACTCCCTCATGGACCTTCTCTTACTTCCCACAAGTGCATCCCCTCTGTCCCCTAGATCTCGAATCAGCAGGCTTTGCCTGCTTGACTACCGGCTGTGACTGTACCGATCGCTTGTCCCTCCTTTGAGACTCAGCTTCCTCCCTGGCTTGAGTCTCTAGCTCAATCTCCCTCTTCTGGGCATTTTCATGGAGCTCGGAAAATGTCCGGTATGTCGAGTTCGCCACGAACTCTCGAATGTCTCTCCTCAGTGTGCTCAGATATCGACTCATACATGTCTGCTCGGTAGATACGTGCTTAGGGAAAAACAACACTCTCTCATGAAACATCCGTGTAATCACAGTCACGGACTCCATCCCCTGTTTGAGGGACAAGAACTCCTGCGCCAATCGTTCCCTCTCTACCAGGGGAACATACTCATCTCGGAACATTGTGGTGAACCTCTCCCAGATCACCACTGTAATCTCTAAAGAAGTGAAATCAACCGTCACAAACTTCCACCAGTCCTTCCCTCCCTAGCGAAGCTGGTTCAGCATGAACCGTACCCTCGAATGCTCCGGACAAGAGTAGGTGTAGAAGAATCCCTCAATGTCATAGATCCACCTCATCGAGGCTATCGGATCCTGAGCCCCATCAAACTCTGGTGGCTTCGTGTTGCTAAACTCTCGGTACAGCAACGAGTCACCCCCCCCCCTATGGCCTCGCGGCAGCGACAACAGCAGCCGCCTCAACAATGGCAACATATCTCTCGTCAAATGTCTCAATCAGCGTGGTCTTGATAGACCCAAACATCACCGGGATGGCCTCCCAGATCGCCGCGGCCACCTCGTCGTGAATCATCCGACGAATCTCCTCGTCTCTAACGTTGTTGCCCTCTGGTGTGTGGCATATCCCAACCATGATGTCTCTGAAACACAACACAAAAGAAATCAGAGACTTGCTCGAGTATACTCGCACTCGATACTCAACCCTACATGTTCCTTAGTACCCTAAGGATTCTTACTTGGACTGCTCACTAATCTGGAGTTTCCAGTAGTATGGGCCCTATACTACCTTCCACATAGCATTAGTACTCACCCAAGTCCTCCTCCTAGGATCCCAGATCACAAATACATTATATCTCGTTGAACACAGGCAACCCTCTAGTAGACTACTCATAAGCTCCTCGCTGCTACCTACTTACTATCGAAGTAACTCATAGTAGCAGTAATCTCCTAGGCTAAGGCATCACAAATCGGGCCACTCTAGTCCTAGATATGAATACCTAGCCTACTCTAGCATGCATAGAATATCACATAATATCTCATAACACATAATGTAAGGGTATTTTGGGAAATCACCGTCTGGGTGCTGGCTGATCGTACACACTGCTCCATTCTGCTTTTCTTACAAAACTTTTACTCTTTTAGAAAAATTGTTTCTTTTATGAAATTTTTTCACAAATCCTCAGTTTGAGTTCAGATACGCCTGAAGGTGCATCCGAATCCCTCAAAGCAAGGCTCTGATACCAACTTGTAATGACGTAAATTTCAAAACAATTTTTCATTTTTAAAACATAACATATCTCATAAAGTAATCTCAAAAGTCAAATGTATCAAATGTTATCTCAGTAAAACATATCCCAAAATCTCAAATACATAATACTCTATTAGTGTGTACAGATCATGTCGACGCCTTCCTGCAATCCTCACTGGTACCTGAAACAAATATCACATAACACGGTAAACATAAATGCTTAGTGAGTTCCCCAAAATACCACATACAACACATAAGCCACTCGAGGCTATAACTCGGTATGACCCTCCGGTCAATATGTATCAGCGGGACCCTCCAGTCCCATAGTTCGTTGGACCCTCCAGTCCGGTCTAGCTCATTGGACCCTCCGGCCCGGTCTAAATCGTTGGATCCTCCGGTCCGATCTAAATCGTTGGACCCTCCGGTCCAGTCTAATCGAGGACCCTCTGGCCTCATAAGTCGTTGGACCCTCTGGTCCGATCTATATAACACATAGCATATATTTAACACAATGCACATAATTTTATACACATAACACATAAGACCCTTTGTTCTGCACATAGATACCACTCTAGGTAATGTTTAGTGAGAAGACTCACCTCGTATGATGTCTAGTATACTCTCGTTCTTGATATCCCCGATCTAGCCTCCTCCTATCAATATGATAATATCTCTAATCAATACTCTCTTTATGTTCTCATCTCTAAAGAATGGGTAGAAGACCATTCTACTCCTTCATGGCCTCTCTTGAGTTAGTTTGACCAAAACCCTAAGGTCAACGGAAGTCAACTCCAGTCAACGGTCCAACTTTGACTAGACTCGTCGACTGCACTCGGGTGACTTGACGAGTCCATGTGTGTCCTCTGAATCCTCCTAAGGCCTCACTCGACTCGTCGAGTTAACCTTTAACTCGACAGGTTACCACTGATCACGAATCCCGGGGCAACCCGATCCGACTCGTCGAGTCCTCTTATGGACTCGGCGAGTTTCCTCCACGGTAACACTCATTTGAACTTCTGAGGTCATATCTGTTTCTCTAACCTATAGATGTGACATTCTAACACCCAAAAGTCACGTAAAGGTTCATTCTTTATGTCCATGCACCACACATCAAGCTCTATTTGATGGAATAGCTCTTAAAATGACAACCTAGATTAAAAACTCCAATGGGACTGCATAAAGCTGGATAATTGGGACTCTCTGGACCTCTTAAGGTCCAGATCCAATGTGTATTCCTCAATGAGACTTCACATGCTCCAATACTCAACTAAAAAGGGGGTAAGGAAACCCTAGATTCATGGAATCTACCATACATACGAGAATAGGCCTGAAATCATACCTCAAACAACAACCCTTGATGAAATGGTAGCAGATCTGAGCCCCCTCCAATCAGCCTAGCTTGAATCTCCTTTCCTTCCTTGCAAGAATGCATTAAAATGGTGCAATTAGGTCCCTTCTTCTCTCACTGTGCTCTTTGGTTCAATAAGGTCTCTCAGGTGTGTGTGTGGCCGCCAATGAAGGCCATAAGGGCCCTTAAATAGGGAACAAGCCCAAAGATTTAAGGTTTCTGTCCACAACGCGGACTCGTCGAGTCGACTTGCCGACTCGTCGAGTCCATTCATTAATCCGAGTCATCAGTCGCGATCCTACTCGATGAGTTTAGGCGTCAACTCGTCGAGTCCCTCTTCTTAACTCAAAAATAAATACTTAAATTATGATACTCGAAATTTCAGATGTTACATTTAGGCTTGCAGAAGCCTAGTCGGTACACCCTCGCTCAACTCTTTTAAGGAAATACATGGTTGTGATCATCTAGTTCCAAAGTCAAACCCCCAAAAATAGTTTAAACATGAAACAAATTTATGCCATAATACAATATCATAATTTTTAAACAAAGAACTATGCATTGCACATGAAACTACTCCCAAAACCAAGTTAGTTTCATTTCCATACTCTTAGAAAATTACATGGACTTTGGGTTCACGCATAGTTAGCACATATCACGATTACATAATTTTTACCTATATTCAAAACTAGTATACTAGCAACCATCATACCGGTGCACATGTGGGTAACTAAGATCACATATGTATATGAGATACTTTTGGTATTCCACTACAAAAACAATATTTTTGGCAATACAAACCAAGATTAAAGATATAAAGGATAAGCGGCCATATATAAGTCAACCCATCCTATGTGAATTCTCTAAATGTCTACATAGAGGAAAACTTTCTTGTTTTATTGACAGAAAATTCCAGCAGTAGTATTTAAAACCATTGCATTATTTTCACCATTTTCCCAATTGTGTTTCCGTTTATTAAACAAAGCGTCAAACTCTATTACCACTTTATTCATGTTCTTCCAGTTTGTGTAGATTTGATATTTCGTTCGGTAGTGACATCGATCCATTTCATTGATGAAATGTTCGATGATTTTGTTCCAAAATGATGACTCACTTTCATTGATGTCGACCATCAGGTCCTCCAATACATCGATCCATGCATGGGCAACCTCTTCTATCATTCTTCGAGAGATGGTGTTTGGGTGTTCATTTTGAAGTTAAAAATAACTTTTGCCGAAACCTTATTGACTTATGAATATGGGAAAATAAGTTTTGAAAAACTGTTTAGATTAGTTTTTTAGTGACAAACGTCAATAAATTAAAAAATATTTAATTTAAAATTGTCTTTTGTTTGTTTTTTATCCTAATAAAATATAAATCATTTCAAAAAATCACAATTTATTACTTCTTGAAATCTCTTTGAATTCAAAAGCTAAACAAAAAAAGGAGTTTTAAAAATCCAAACATTTTTTTTTAAACAATAAGTTTTTAAATGACATTCAAACACACACCCTGAATATGTTTGTAGCTTTTGAGGAAAACATTTTTTAAGATAAAACTGTCAGTGAGACTCCACCGGCCTAACACACCGTAATCTTTCGATTTTGCTTTGTTAAGATTAATCATTAAAAAAAAAGGGAATGGTTGGTATACAAAACAATATCATGTTTATAATTTATGCGGCTACTGTTTTTTTAAAAGGACAAAAATACCCCTAACAGCCTCACAGCCTTGTCACCGAGAAAAGCCCCTTTCGTTGTCGATCCATCGAATCTGTCCTTGTTGGCCTATAAAGTAACAACCACCGAGGCCTCCGCAAAATTTCAGATCGTCGCCTGAGATTTGATTTCAAATCTCTCTCTTGCTCTCTTGTTCAAACAAGACGGCTGATTCTATTTCGAACTTACGATTTTTGCTCAAAAATGGCTATGTCGACCTCTGCTTCTAGGGTTTCCCTTTCTTTTGAATGCCGAACGGATGCCAATTTCTCCGGCGGTATCCCTCGCATCGATGGCGCACGGTTCTCTTCCAAGCTAGGTGGGGCGTCTGGTAAAGGAACGTTTGGTATGTCTTCATTGATTCTGAGGTTCCCACCCAACTTTGTTAGGCAGCTCAGCAATAAGGCTCGGAGGAACTGTAGTAACATCGGCGTTGCTCAGATTGTTGCCGCTTCATGGTCTAACAACCAGCCTCCTTCTTCGGCGGCGGGGGCTAAGGCCGTCGACGCCGCCGCCTCCTCCGCCGTCTCCACTCCGTTCGTCGTGGGTGAAGATGTTGTTGATAATAATGATATGGATATAGGTTCTTGTAATGGTAGCCCTTTTGTACAGTTTCAGGCTTTGGAAAGTTTTCATAAGCCTTCGTTTTTGAAATCCGATGATAGCGTTGCAATTCATGCTGGTATGCTCTCGATACTCAAATATTATTGGAATAGTGATAAATAGATTTGTTCATTACCATGATTCGATAAAGTTGCATATTTTTCCTGGATTCCGATCATCAATGATTGGATCTTGGTTTCCAAATATCCATTTGTTCAAGATCTGGAAGAATGTGCTATGCTCAGTATTCCAAATTTCCAACATTTACTTTCTAATTCAACTGCAGTCTGCTTTTACCCAATTAGTTTCTCGAATTTGATGTTTATGTAAACGATGAAAAATGATCTATTTCGCATTTAATATGCTAATGCTTTTGCTAGGTGAAAGATTGGGTCGCGGCATTGTTACTGATGCAATAACTACACCTGTCGTCAATACATCTGCCTACTTCTTTAAAAAAACTTCTGAACTCATTGATTTCAAGGTATCAATCATTCTTTTTCTTTGCATCGGGTGTTCTTTAACTGAATGCACATCTCAAAACACCTTTTCTTTTTGGTTCAATCTTCGGATTCTTAATAAGTTGCAATACTCAGTTTCTGAATCTTTTAAATCTTCCGAATCATCAATCTTGAAAACAGGAAAAAAGACACGTTAGCTTTGAGTATGGGAGATATGGGAATCCTACTACTGTGGTTGCTGAGGAAAAGATAAGGTAATGTCCTCTGCTTTCTACTTTCTTTTCCATTTGCCTCTTGTATGATAAAACCTCATAGTATAACTCAATAAAAGTACATGTATTTTGAAAAAAAAACAGTGCGCTTGAGGGAGCTGAGTCAACTCTGATACTTGCCTCGGGGATGTGTGCTAGCACTGTGATGATGTTAGCCCTAGTTCCAGCTGGTGGACATATAATCACCACCACTGATTGCTACAGGAAAACAAGGATTTTCATTGAGACATTTCTTCCCAAAATGGGAATCACGGTATTGTTTTTGATACATGTTTTTTCTTTTTTTATTTATACTGAAAAAAGACTGAGATTTATGTGAATGGGAGAAAGTTTGCAACTTTTTATCATCCCATTTGTACAAAAGACGTTAATGCCCTTCTAACCCATGTGGTGGAGAATTATTATATTTGATATGAATGCTCTTGTTGTTTGATTATGTAGGCAACAGTTCTTGACCCTGCAGATTATGCAGGCCTTGAAGCTGCATTAGACAACCACAAAGTGAGTAGTATAGAAATCTAAATTACATTTTTGGTCCCTGTATTTTAATCTATTTACTATGAAATTGGTTGTTTTGGGTGTATTTTGGCTCTATCAGGTTAAATGGGTTAACTATAAAAGACTATATTACATTTTTGGTCCCTGTGTTTATTTTTATTTTTGGTATCTTTTCCAAAAAAGAATCTTTTATGCAAATTTGGTCCTTACTCAAGGTTTTCATAACATTTTTGATCCCTGTGTTTATTTTTATTTTTCGAATCTTTTCCAAAATAGAATTTTTTTTGCAAATTTGGTCCTTACTCAAGGTTTTTTATAACATTTTTGGTCTCTGTGTTTATTTTTATTTTTCGAATCTTTTCCAAAATAGAATCTTTTTGCAAATTTGGTCCTTACTCAAGGTTTTCATAACATTTTTGGTCTCTGTGTTTAGTTTTATTTTTCGAATCTTTTCCAAAATAGAATCTTTTTGCAAATTTGGTCCTTAATCAAGGTTTTCATAACGTTTTTGGTCCCTGTGTTTATTTTTATTTTTCGAATCTTTTCCAAAATAGAATCTTTTTGCAAATTTGGTCCTTACTCAAGGTTTTCATAACGTTTTTGGTCCCTGTGTTCATTTTTATTTTTTGAATCTTTTCCAAAATAGAATCTTTTTGCAAATTTGGTCCTTACTGAAGGTTTTCATAGCATTTTTGGTCCCTGTGTTTGTTTTTATCTTTCAAATCTTTTCCAAAATAGAATCTTTTTGCAAATTTGGTCCTTACTCAAGGTTTTCACAACACTTTTGGTCCATATCCCATGTAAAACGACTACTTTGCACCCTAGTGGTGATAAAAATCTGTTAACTTAAAAAACCTTAAGGTGAAAAGTAGTCATTTTTACCTAGGGAAAGGACCAAACACATGACAAAATCCTTCAAAAAGAACCAAATTTGCAAAAAAAAAAATTCCTTTTGGGATCTGATCCAGAAGAATTGACCCTAAAACCTGTCCATTTTGCCACTTATGATCCAAAGATCCATTGTATTTCAACAACAGAGTTATAAAAAAGAATTTATACATAAACTAATTTCTCATTTATACCACAGGTTAGTCTTTACTTCACAGAATCACCCACAAATCCATTCCTAAGATGTGTTGACATTGAGTTAGTTTCAAAGATTTGTCATGCAAAAGGAGCAATTGTTTGCATTGATGGAACATTTGCAACACCTCTCAATCAAAAGGCTCTTGCCCTTGGTGCAGATATTGTTCTACACTCAGCAACCAAATACATTGGTGGACACAATGATGTAAAGCAAAAAATCAAGAATCTTTTTCTTTTGCTAATAATCTATATTTTTTTTAAAACAGATATTGACTATGTTTGACTTTTTTTTAGGTTCTTGCTGGTTGTATTAGTGGCACTACTGAAATAATTTCTCAAGTTCGTAACTTGCATCATGTTTTAGGTGGTGCTCTGAATCCTGTAAGTAGCTTATGAGCTGTTTTTAACATGCTTGATATATATATAACAAGGGTGTCATATTTTTTTTTTTTATTTTAATAATTAAATATTTATTTTAATTGCAGAATGCTGCATACTTAATCATTCGAGGCATGAAAACGCTGCATCTACGTATAAAGCAACAGAATTCCACTGCGCAAAGGATGGCCGAAATTTTAGAGGCACATCCTAAGGTACTTAGTCCTGCTTTTTTTTAAAAAAAAAATATATTTTATTGATGAAGTGCTGTTTAAATAAACTGAGGGTAAATTTGTAAAAAGTTGGTGCCTAGAGCATCCACAATGGTTAACCCCTTGAAAAGTTTTATCAGCTTTCCACTATCTTTATTCATAACAAAAACTTCATCTTTATACATCTTCTTCAATGCATAAACTTTTGCCAAAGATTTTTTTTTCAACAACTAAACTTAATCCTCATGTATTTGTAAAAAAGTTTTATAAAGGCCCTCTCCTTGAATTTGTTGTTTTCTTTTTATTAAGTACACATCATGTTTGATATTTGGATGTTATTTTGATGAATTTGATCACCATGAGTCATGAGAAATGCTTTTCGATGATACTTTTTCCTATAAAAACTACCATCTTTATTTTGCATATTTAATATTTACTCTAATCAGTCAAAAAAATAAAAAAAGAAAACAATGTTTACAGGTGACAAGAATGTGACATTGACACTGAGAAAAGTTATGGTGAAAATTTTACAGGTGAAACATGTGTATTATCCAGGGTTGAAAAGTCATCCGGAGCATGATACTGCAAAAAAACAGATGATTGGTTTTGGTGGTGTTGTTAGTTTTGAGGTGGATGGAGATATCACAACCACCATTAAGTTTGTTGATGCTTTAAAGATCCCATACATTGCACCCTCTTTTGGTGGATGTGAAAGCATTGTGGATCAACCAGCCATTATGTCTTACTGGTAACTTTCCTCTTTCCATTCTGGGGCTATTTTCGATGATAGAGGGCATTTACGTCTTTTTGCACTGATGAAAGATATCCCCCTTTCTCACTTTTTTGGGTGGGAAAATAAATTGATTTTTTTCTTCTTCTTTTAAGCCACGAGTGTTACACGGGACTATCAAGCTTTTTACAACTATTTTAGGTGATTGGGAAGGAGGAGGGTATTTATGTCTTTTTGCACATATGAAAGTGCCTCCTTTAGCACCTAATTTTTTGGGTGGGAAAATGAATCTGAGTTTTTTTGTTCTCCTAAGCCATGAGGGTTACATGGGACTAGCAAGCTTTTTATGACTATTTTAGATGATAGGGAAGGATGAGGGCATTTATGTCTTTTGCACATATGAAATATCTTAAGCAACCTACTTTTTTTTCGTTAGGAAAAATTATTGATTTTTTGTCCTATTAGGCCATGATTGTTCCACACTACTAGACAATAATAGTGGATGGGAAGGGTATTTACGTCTTTTTTGGTGGGACAAAAATTGTCCTATTAGGCAAAATGTTAAGTTTTCTAAGGCTATTTTATTATATGAGAGGACGAGGAGGGTATTTACGTCTTTTTACACAAATGAACATCATAGACTCTTGTGAGGAGGGCATTTATGTCTTTTTGCACAAATGAACATCATGGACTCTTGTTTTACCTTTTTAGGTGGTACAAAAAAGTTGAATGCATTTTTATCCTCTTTGCATGAGTCATGGTTATAGTCTGGTATATGTCAAAAAACACAGTAGTATAATTTGTTTTGATCTGTAATGATTGGAAACAGGGATCTGAGTCAAGCAGAGAGGGCCAAATATGGAATAATGGACAATTTGGTTCGCTTCAGTTTTGGGATTGAAGATTTTGAGGATCTCAAGGCGGATGTTCTGCAAGCTTTGGAGGCCATATAAGCATGTTTCACCTGCGTGATTGTTTTTTTTTTTTTTTTTTTTTATCAAGTCTTTGTTGTTTTAAAATGTTGTTTTTGAATCTTGATGATGATTGTGTGTTGTAGAAGACTTTTGTAGTTGAACGCTCTTGAGTTGAGTGCTCCTATTTATTTTATTTATCACTTAGCTAGATCAAGAAATGTGTTATGTCCCACTAAATTTACGTGAAGCTACAAAAACAGAAATTAAACCTAAAACTATAAATTGAAGAGTTTTGGTTTTTGAAGAGGTAAAAACATAAGGAGTCTTGGACTATAAAAAAACGATTTTTTTTTCTTTTCAAATTTAAAGATATGGTTTTATAACCCTGAAATTTAATTCCTACAACTACCAATTTTATGACATAGAAATTTATATAATATAATAACCACAGGAACAGATTTTTTTTGAAAACCATCATTTTATATTTTATATTAATTGCTCAACAATTTGATTTCATGAATAAGTTGTTAATTGTTGGACGGTGTGCTACCATGTGCTTGAACACATCTTGTCGCCATCATCACACGCATGGTCAATTTGAAGATAAATAATTCATCGTTTAAACAACTCTGACTTTAGCAAAACATCACCTAAAACTCGGATTTCAACAAACAGACAACTCTTTTAGCAAATAATGACATAAAAATCATATCTAGGAAACAAACTCATATTTCAGCAAGTAAATCAATCAGCAACCAACAAAATAATCTAAAATAAGGTGTCCTACACCGAGAGGGAGAAAGAAGAGAAAGAACCTACGTGTGTTTAAAACGATAAACTCTTGTAGCACATGAAAACTAATCACACATCATATTATGAATTCACATATTGCCAATTAATAATTTGGCCATGTGGCTTGTAATTAAGCATAAAAAATTCATCAATTGAGCTCCAAATTTGGCATCGCCGATCAAACAAAGCCACATAAAGCCCAACATCTTGATGTTTTTCATTACTTTACTCCTTGATTTTATTAGTGTTGATAAAGATAAAAAAAAATTTATGCAGTGTCCTTTGCTTTCATTATGGTAAAAGAGCTATATGAGAAATAAATGATTGTACTATAGAAGGGGAAATGATATCAATGCATCATTTGTCATAAGAGATTATATCGGATAGTTAGATTTGAAGTTTATGTATTAACCTTTAAGTTTATCACAAATGTTATAAATCTTATATAACTTAATAACTATTTCAATTTGGCATGTGCTTTCGATCCCTAATTCACCATTCCCAACTACGATAAAAAAAATCTAGCAAATTGAAAAACTATTGTATGTAACATCTCAGTCTTAGCAACTTTGCTTTGTAAGATTCTTTAATAAATTTCGCGTAAAAACTTTATGATATTATAAACATTTTGGTTTGTTAACTTGATACGGATACATTCATTAAAAAACTTAGGAAAATAAGTTCCATTTTTTTTTTTTACTGTGGATATACTTATACCTGTCATCATGCTCCCCAAAACAATTTTTTTTCCTTATCTACCATTGATACATCTATAGTTGTCATCAAGCTCCCTAAGCAATTATGTTTTATTGAATTTCATATATAATATTTATAAAATTATCAATACCCAAAAATGAGAAACCAAACCAAGCTATAGGACCTATACCCAAATATATACCAATGAAATAATAGTTTTTCAAGTGTTCATAGAATACTATCATAAATTCCTTAGAAATAAGAACCTATAGAGGTGTGCAAAAAATTACAAATTTAATTCAAACCAACCAACCATATTAGATATTCAATCATAATTAGATTGGATCGGTTTCAAATTTTCAAAATCCAATTGAATTGGATAGGTTATTGGATGATTCTAAATATTCAATGGATAAATGAACCAAACTGATCCAACATTTATCTATTTTGATATCAAATATCACCATCGGATAAATATCTAATTACCATATTCTAATAATATTATTTAACTAAAAAAACAATAAAATCCATCCAATATTATTATCTAATTATTATAATTATTTACATTTGATAACCAATTAAATATATCAAACCTATAGAACGGATTCAATTCAACATCCAGTTAAATCAGTTTGGTTTGATCGTGTATATATATATATATATATATATATATATATATATATATATATATATATATATTAAATTGGATTAAATCAATTGAAAAAAATATAAACTCAAATAAATAATTAGATTGAATAGGTTCTTCAAAATGGATTTTAACCTATCAACACTCTAACCCTATTACGTGACTAGAGAATAAAAAGTCATACGTGAAAACAAAGCAAAAGAGGTATAAAGAATTATAAAGGTGCAAAAGTGAAAAGACAAAAGAAAACGCAAAAGAGTGTCATCTTCTTCTATATGCTCTTCTTATCTTCCAAAATCAAGAACAATAGAATATTCAATATTCTCGTCTCTATTCCATTTCAATCCTGTTCAACAAAACCCCAGATACACAATCGATCTTCGTCTTCATGTGGCGATGAAATTCGGTAAAGAATTCGGAATCCATCTCGAACAAACCCTACCTGAATGGAAAGACAAGTACTTGTGTTACAAACCCCTTAAAAAGCTTCTCAAAAACCTTCCTAATCCCACCGCCGATGACGCCAACGACCACCCTCAACCATATCGAAACCCTACCGGAGTTAACGCCGACCGCAATCTACCACCTCTGCCGCATCACTTAGCGGAAATCCAACACTGGTTTGTCAGGATTCTCAATGAAGAACTCGATAAGTTCAATGATTTCTATGTTGATAAAGAGGAAGAATTCGTCATCCGATTTCAGGTTTTTCGTTTTGTTACTTATAGTAAATTGTGATATTTGTCTCCTCGAGTTATTGCTATTGCTAGGCTTTGACTTTTCTATATCAGTTCAAACATACGTAGAAATTGATCCTTCCAAGTTTCAATTTTCAATCGAGACTTATTATCCGACTTTCAGATTACATCTGGCAATTGACCATTTATTTCAATTCTGTTTTATTTTGACTAACATTCAACATCATTATCTTCATGAACGATCTGCTTGAATGAGTATAGAGCTGTCGAATAGGTTAAAACTTGGGTAGGAGATTGTCATTGCACACTACTAACTTGTTAATTCTGATTATGGATTGAATTATAAAGAACCCCATTGCAATTTGAATCTGTATACTTATCATGTATGGAATGCATCGCTGAATTTACTTGGTGATCCAATCAGGAGTTAAAACAAAGAATCGAGCTAGTAAAGGAGAAAAGCTGTAAAGATGGAGTGTTTACATCAGAAAGCGAATTCAGTGATGAGATGATGGAAATACGTAAAGACTTTGTCACGATTCATGGGGAAATGGTGCTTCTCAAGAACTACAGCTCCTTAAACTTTGCAGGTATGAAACCTTCCTCATCGTATTATTTAATCTAGAAAATTAAAAGAGATTTTTCCCAATTAATCTGGGGATTCGTGCTTGCTTGTAATGTAAGCAACAAATATTAACTATGTTTGCCACACTTGACAAGTTTACTAGGACTTTTTTTTTTCTTTCAATGAGGATGAGAAGATCATTCACGTCTTTTGTATAGACGAGAGATCAATAGCGAGCCCCTGTCCCACTTTTTTGGGTTGTACAAAAGACCGCAACTTTTGTCCCATTTATATCGGTCAAAATCCTAGTCCTAGTCCAATGCAAGCCAAACACAGTACAACTTGTTATGTTTTGTCCTGTCATGACCAACAAACGGGCAGGACAAAACATAAGGACCTTTTTGTATTGCTTTTGGCATACATTGGACTAAGGCTCAGACTTAAACTGATGTAAATAGGACAAAAGCTGCAGTATTTGTCCGACCCAGAAAGGTGGGACAAGGACTCACTATTGATCTCTCGTCTATAGAAAAGACGTAAATGCCCTTCTTATCCTCATCATAAAAAATAGCCCTAGAAAACTTGTCCCATGTATGGATTGGACACCTTGTCGGCATTGGGCCTTTATGTCTGACAGTTGTGTACCTGATTTACATCTCACATAAGGCTCCTACGACAGTGAGAGTTGTTGGAAGAATAACATCGATAACATTTCTATTTCTTTTCATTTTTTTTAGGTATTATCAAGATACTAAAAAAATACGACAAAAGAACGGGTGGACTACTTCGCGTACATTTTACACAACTTGCCCTTCGCCAACCCTTTTTCACCACAGAACCTCTCACAAGGTTGGTGCACGAGTGTGAAGAAAATCTCGAACTCCTCTTCCCTTTAGAAGCAGAAGTAATCGAATCCACAAACCGAACAACCACCACCACAACACCATTAGCACTTGGTGAAGAAACTTCAGATGTCTATAGACGTACAGTCGATGCTATTAAGACCATAAAGGGTCTTAAAAAGGAAAGTTCAACTTCAAATCCGTTGTCTTTTGCTTCTATTTTTGGAAACCAAGATATTGATATGGGTGCTGTGACTGCTGAAGATTCACGTTCAGACTCTTCGGGTTGTGATAATATTGAACAAGATTATGATGATGGCCATTCGGCTGAATAAGAGTGATGACATTTTGGACATGTCTATAGATTTTTGTGTTTGTATGTCTCTTTTTGTTAGGGGGGTTTTAAGTGTTTGAATAGTACTTGTTTTGTTTTGATTTGGTAAATAAGATAAAAAGTAAAATGCTTGTTACTGCAATGATCTTTTACATTTTTTTTTTCTAACTTATGTAACACAATTTTTTTTAGAAAAGAAATATGTAACTATGTTCTACTTTAGAACCAAAAAATGCGATGTATTAATTTAGGCGATTGAAACTTGATTATATAGTTTGTTATGGCTACAGGTATTGGTAAATAAAGTTCATACTTTGTTCTATAAATAAGCGAAAGGGGAAACGATGTTGCTTAAATTGGTAAAATAATGAAAATAGTTTAAATTGGTAGAAGAATGAAAATAGATGTAGAAATAAGTTTATAAAAATCACTTTGTTAAATAAATTTATAAAAAAGTGAAACCTTAAAAGCAAACATTACACCCTAAAATACCTTCTAATTTATTTACTTC